CGCACTGGCGCAGGCGCCAACCCGGCTGCCTCATAGAGAGCAAGAATTGAGTCCTGCCGCTCTGCTCTGAGGCTCGAGGGCCCAGCACAAGGCTCACCTGGGAAGCGGAGGCAGCCACCCCCTGAGGCTGTAAGGATCAAAGAATGAAACATCTGTATGCTGAGCGCAGGGTCCGGCCCATGACGAGAATCGCAGCCTAGTGCTGGAGGGAGGACGGGAGGAGCAGCCAGAGAGGCTTCAGAACCGAGGGAACACTCAGGAAGGGTTCTGCAGAGTGAAGAGGAGCCCGTGAGAAGCTCTGGAATTGAAAGCAAAGATAAACAACAAAGAGGAAGATGAAATAGGGCCTTATGACACGTGAGAACTCTGAGAAGGCCCGACTAGGGGACTGAAGGGCCGGGGGTGGGGCAGCTGCCCCTGTGGTGCTGAGTTGCTTGTGTGTAAATAACCTTTGTGGGGGAAGGGTACTTGGCGATGCTTTTATCGCATCTTCCGTTCCTAAGATTATAAATAGCCTTTTCTTTTGAGACTTTTCCCTCATGCAGTTGGACATAAACTGCACGACACTGCTGTTCAGATCCCAGCTGTCGTCACTCAGTGGCTGAGTGTGACCTATGACAAGATGCTGTCTCAGAGTTTAGACTGCTGTCTATAACGACACATCATGGCTGCCTCTCGGTCCCCTGCGTGTTTATTCTGTGCCTGCCTACGCTCCTTCATGACCCGTGGTTTGCCTCTTCCTTCTCCGTCTGCCCCCACCAAATGGAGCTCCCAAAGGCCGGAATCTCGCCCACTGGTACAGTGCCTACCACCCAGTGGGCTTGGCAGGCTGATGGGCAGTGCTGCTGTGACTGTTTTATGGTGGCAGTGGTTTTTGTTTTGTTTTGTTTTGAGATGGTCTCACCGCAATCCAAGCTGGCCTTGAACTCACTATCAAGCCTCAAACTCATAGCGATCCTCCTGCCTCAGCCTTATGCATGTAGGCACCACCACGCCCAGCTTTGCTGTTGATATTATACAAGGCCTAAGTAGGGCCTCTGGGTAGAAGTGAATTTTGGGTGCTGGACACTTGGAACTTTGGAGCTTCATCCTTGAACCTGCCGTGCGTGGTGCTCTGGGCTGCCTCTATAGAAGGAAAAGTTCTGGGTTCAAATCCTGTCACCCTCATCCCTGAATGTGGCTCTGAAGAGTGATAATGGCAGCTCTCATGTGAGAGGATTAGGAGGCTTCAGCTGGGACTGGAGCTAAAGAAGGATTGGCTATGAGGCCAGGGCGGGACCCGGGTCCTAGACAGCAGTCCTGACTAGATTCAGCAGGCTGAAGTCACCCTCCGTTCCATCCTCCTGCTTGACTGTCCCCAGGCAGAGAGGGTACAGGAGCCTGCTGTTTGCCCCAGAAGGGAAGGAAGCCAGGGGGTGGCAGGCTCCAGACCTTATTTCATGAACCCAGCCAAAGAATCAGTGTCAGCCTCTGACCTTACACTTTGCTCCGTGTGTTCTACCCCTGCCCAGGTTCTGTCCCTGCCTCCTGCAGGCCCACCTCCCTTGTCCAGCCTCACTCACCCTATCTGGCACCAGGTGGGGCCCTTGTCCTGTCAGCTGTGAGGTGGAGCCACCTGGGAGGGCCTGAGGAGTTACACCTTCCAGCTTCGTGATGAATAACTCAGCTTCCCCAGAGGGTCCTAGCAAGGGGCCAGAGGAAGAGCTGTGACCAGAGCAGCTTCGCCTGCCATCCATCAACTCTCTTACACACCACCAGTCCTGGGGACATGGGGACAGGCCCTGGCCCCAATCACTGTGGGGAGGAACACACCACCTGCTTGTGCAGAGCAGCTGCAGGTCCCACAGTGATGGGCGCCTTTGGGACTGCTGCCCTAGAACCCCAAGGGCATCATGTGTCCTCCTGTACAGCTGTACCGGGTGCTTCCCAACAAGGCTCCTGGCTTTTCCCCGACATTGATGTGGCTAGAAATTCCTTGGGTCAGCAAAGGCTTTTTTTGCCTCAGCCAGATACTAGGGAATTACAAGCTGTGAGGGCCTGTTTCCCACAAGAGCCAAAGGTGACTGAGCAGGAGAAAGAAAGCCAAGGATTCCTGGCATTTCAAGCTTATGCCCTCAGGGATATGGGTGGGGAGGGAATGGATGGATGGATGGATGGATGGATGGATGGATGGATGGATGGACGGTGGTTGGGTGAATGGATGGGTGGATGAAGGGTGGGTGGGTGGATGGATGGGTGGATGGGTGGATGAAGGGTGGGTGGGTGGGTGGATGGGTAGATGGATGAAGGGTGGTTGGGTGAATGGATGGGTGGATGGGTGGATGAAGGGTGGGTGGATGTATGAAGGGTGTTTGGGTGAATGGATGGGTGGATGGGTGGTGGGTGGGTGGATGGATGAAGGATGGGTGGGTGAATGGATGGGTGAATGAGGGGTGGGTGGGTGGATGGATGGATGGGTGGATGGGTGGATGGATGAAGGATGGGTGGGTGAATGGATGGGTGGATGGGTGGATGAAGGGTGGGTGGGTGGATGGATGGAGGGATGGAAGGTGGGTGGATGGATGGATGGATTGATTAAGGGTGGGTGGGTGGATGGATGAGTGGATACATGGGTAGGTAGATAGGTGGATATGTGGATGGATGAGTGGATGAGTGAGTGGATAGATGGTGCTATGAGTAGGAGAAAAGGAGGGATGGGAGGTAAATGAAGGGGAGATGATAAGGGAGATGGCAGAAAAGCAGAATAATAGCAGCTTTAGGGCAGGGGTGGGGTCTGGTAGATACCACACCAGGTTCCCTTCCTGGAGCAAGTGTTGTTCTCTATTCTTGTGGCTGAGCTAAACCTCCAGCCTCTCCTAGAGGGAACGTTGTGTTTTTAGTTCAAAAGACTAGAATGTGTCCCTTGCAGCCTGTATGGCTGCAGTCCATTTTGATGGGCAGGTGGCCATGCAGATAAACCCTTCTGAGAGCTTCCCGTACTTCAGGACTTTCTCTAAATTAGCTGAGCGGGGCTTTCAAAATGAGGTTTCCCACAGATTTTCTTAGGGGTTGAGGGGACACTTTTATTTTCTTTTAACGTATTTTTAAAGTTTTTCGAAGTTTAATTTAAAACAATGAGGTCCTTTGGAAACCACCAGAATCCCCCCAGCTCAACCCATCTCGCAGCCTTTCTGTTCTAGGGAAAGTTCTCAGGTTTTAAGGTAAGCAGGGGGTGAACTGCTCTTGTCTAGAGCCCTTCACTTTGCCATCCCCTGTGACAAAGCAAAATCTGCAAATCACCTGCACGCTGGTCTGTTGGGACCACAGCTACAGTAAGACCCAATTTAGAATGTTTGTCTTCCCAAGGCGGCCGTGTGTTCTCGGTAGTCATCCTTAGAATAAGCAAATATCACAAATACTCTTCTTCTTAGCCACACGTGTTAGGGTTTTCATATTGAGGGGTTTTTGTTTTGTTTTGTATTGGGGGAATTTCACTGATTTTGGTTTTATTCAGAGGGATTTTTTGTTTCTTTGAGACAGTCTCACTAGGTAGCTCAGGTGGACCTCAAACTTATCCAGGCTGGCCTCGAATTCATGATCCTCCTGCCTCAGCCTCCTTATTGCTGGAATGACTGGTGTGTACCACAAAGTGCAGTCCTCATTGGTCATTTTGGAAGGAAATGAAAAGTAGGAACTCTTTGGACAGATCCCTAAAATCCTTCCAGCTCTTGATTTCCCTGATTCTAACCTGAGCAGTTTGGGTGCCCAGCCTTCTCCCTCCCTCTGTGCTGATTCTTTAATTTACAATCCTCCTGCCTCAGCCTCCCAGAATTCCGGATTATAGGCAAGTGCCACACTATGCCTGGCTCTTTCTGAGCCTATCATGGACTACTCATAGATTAGCCCAAACTCTTTATGTACCCACTTATTGGTGCTGCCAGGGTGACCTCCTACCACATGGAGCCCACTTTTATTATAGGTGCCTGGATGCCCCCTCCTGTCCTCCTTTCTCAGCTTGACTGCAGTGGGATTATAGTTCCCTGCAGCATCTGTGGCCTCACAGGCAGAGCCTCCCTCTGTCCTAACACCTGGTGTAAATCATCCCAGCTCTAGACTAATTGGTGAGGTCATCCAAGTCCTAAAGGAGAGAATTTGGAATATTGTGCAGAAAGAGCACTCATCATAGCTGGCTTTGGGCTGGCAAGAAACATCCTGCTAAATGAAATATCTGAGAAACTTGTAAATAGCATGTCAGTTGATCAAAATAGGCTCAAGGGCCGGTGAGATAGCTCAGCAGACTAAGCACCTGCTTAGGCAAACACAGGGACTGGGTCCAATCTCTGGCACCACATGTCCCAGAGACCCACCCCCTAGACACGCTGAGCCAGCCACCAAGTCTGGGCGTGGTGGCGCATGCTTGTAATCCCAGTGCTGGGGAGGCTAAAACAGGACGATCGCAAGTCCACGCTGCACCCTGAGACCCTGTTCCAAATACATAATTTTTTTCAAAAGACTCAAAAAATGCTGGTTCCCTTGACAGTAGGCTGTTTTCCTTTGTAAAGATTGTACTGTTAAACAGCTTCATAGGCTTTACTCTTGGGCAGAAGCAGGGAAGTCAGTAATTTAAAATAAGTGTCTTAGTGACCTTGCTGTCATTTGGACAAAATACTCAAAGCCCATGACTTCAAGGAGACAAGGAGAGAGGCTTCTTTCTGACTTGCAGTTTTAGGCCAGGTTCAGTGGGCTCCAAGGCAGAGAATGAACGGAAGGCAGAAGGTCACCTCAGATAAGAGCTGCTCACGTCACGGTGGCCAGGAAGCAGGGAGAGAAGGGAGGAGCCAGGGAGGCAATGTGTCCTTCCAGGTCAGGCCCTAGGGACCAACCTCCAAGCATCCCCAGCTCCTAACAGCACACACAGGTCCTGACTTCGTCACCTGTACACGTGAGAGCTTTGATCAAAACCATAACACAAAGGTATTGAATTTTATGCCTCCCTGAATCATGTTGTTCTGTCCTTCTAGATTGTTCTCTGGGGCCGGACTGAAAAATGTCTGAAAGAGACAACAGAGGAGATTCGCCAGATGGGTACTGAGTGCCACTATTTCATCTGCGACGTGGGCAACCGGGAGGAGGTATACCAGATGGCCAAAGCTGTCCGGGAGAAGGTCAGTGTCCCAGGAAGGTCTGTATTTGGCATGGCAGAACACAGAGTAATGCCAGGCAAAGAGGACATGCCCAATTGCCAGGGGGAGAACTTCACTTATGGCAGAATGGCATTGTCCAGAGCAGCTCTGGGGACTTGCCTATGGAGCTGGTCCAGGTGACATGAGTAGGGACTGGGCTGATTGCATCACACGAATTATCAGTTATTGTCCCGTTGGAAGTTGAGGCCCTACAGGTCTAAACTGGGAGAGAGACAAATATCCCATTGCCTTCTGGGAAAATCCACCTGACTCTAGGCATCTCCCTGACTATGTGTTGGGGTCTCAGTTACTCTTTTTTTATTGCTGGGATAAATACCCGACACTCAAAATGAAGGAAGGAAAAGTTTATTTAGCTCACAGTCAGTGGAAGTTTCAGTCCACACTCAGCTGGCTCCAAGGCAGAGCGGCACATGGCACAGAGAGCAGCCGTTCATGGTGGCAGTAAAGAGCAAGAGAGCAAATAGGAGTAGCAGCAACAGTGGCTTCAGAGAGCAAGTGTGTCTCTCTTCTGTTGCATTCAGGCTATCCTCCCCAGATTGGGCATATCACTCACACCCATAATCCCAGCAGCACTCACACCCATAATCCCAGTGGATCATGAGTTTGTCACAGACTTTAGAAGTCTGCCCCATGACTGCATGAGGCTTTGGGGGGACAGCTAGGCACAAACCATAACAGTTGGTGAACCCCAAGAGAGGAACAGCTACTCCTCTAAAGTATTTGGCACATGGTAATGTTAACTATTTTATGTAAGCATAACCTCATTTATTGAAGATATACTATATCCCAGGTTTGATAGGTGCCATAATATATTCCTAATCCTCAGATCACAGCTGATTTGGCACCACCGTGACCTTACAAACAAGACTGATGCTTAGACAGGTGACAGAGCTTCCCAAGGCCATGTGGCTGGGGGTAGTGGGTTCTGGTCTGTTCTCAGGCACCTGTAAGCCTCCAGGGCTGGCCATCCTCATGGCCCCTGGCTTCCTCTTGTCCATAGGTGGGTGACATCACCATCCTAGTGAACAACGCTGCCGTGGTCCACGGAAAGAGCTTGATGGACAGTGACGATGACGCCCTCCTCAAGTCCCAGCACATCAACACTTTGGGGCAGTTCTGGGTAAGGGCTAGCCTGACCCCAAGCCAGCTCTGGGCATGAGGCGAGGTGGAAACAGAGAGAGAGAGGCTGAGGCCAGAAGGACGCCCGAGGACAAAGTGGCTGTACGAGAGGAATGACTGGGCCCAGGAGCCACAGGTTTTCTGATCTGTGAGCTCAGTGTCCACAGCCATGGGCCCTTGGTCCACTGCTATAGGAGGGAATGGTCACTAGGGTAGAGTATGTGTCAGGGCAGACTGCTCTCCCCAAGATGGGCGGAAGGGTTGGTGGCAGTTGTTTCAGCACCACACTGACCCGCTGTCCACCCTCAGACCACCAAGGCCTTCTTGCCTCGAATGCTGGAGCTGCAGAATGGCCACATCGTGTGCCTCAACTCTGTGCTGGCGCTGTCCGCTATCCCAGGAGCCATCGACTACTGCACATCCAAAGCGTCAGCCTTCGCCTTCATGGAGAGCCTGACCCTGGGGCTGCTGGACTGTCCAGGCGTCAGTGCCACCACCGTGCTGCCCTTCCACACCAGCACAGAGATGTTCCAGGGTATGAGGGTCAGGTCAGTGCTGGGCACCAGCCTCCTTCTCTGAGCCGAGGCAGCCAGGGGACTGTCGTAAAAGCTGTGTCATAAATAGACCCAAAAGCCTTGGGGCCTCGTACTCTGGTGTCTCATTCTCTACCTACAAGGCTGTGGGATGCTCTAACAGGTCAGGGTCCCACTTCCCAGTTCAGGGAGCTCACACAAAGCACTGGAGCTGAATACATGCTGTATATATGGCACGTAAGTGCCGTGGATTCCTACTACACAATAATAAGAAGCACACAGAGTGTTGATATGTGAGTAGTACTGTGAAGCTCACAAGCATGATGCTGAGTGAAAGCAGCCCAGAACGCACAGCTCCTTGTAGGACTTGATTCCTTCTGCATGATTTCAAGTGCTAAAATGGGCAAAACCGGGCTCTAGTGCTGGAAACCCGAGCAGTGGCCGCCCCTGGCATGCATGAGCACAGAACTGGAAAAGAGGCAGAAGAAACCACCCTCTTGGGGATCGGGGTGATGACTAAATAGGTAAAAGTTAAAATAAAAATGTATCGTAATAACATAGCAATAGTTACTATAGAGCTCGGAGTGTTGTTCAGTGCTAGCGTACTTGCCTTGCACACAGCAAGCCCAGTGTCCAATCTCAGTACTAAAAAGGAAAAAAGGTAAAACTGAAGCAAGCTGTGTGCTCAAGACATAGTATGCAAACACAGCTCAATGCGAAGAAACAGGAGCCCAAGCCCTTTCTCCACAGAACAGTTCTAACAGAGAGAGGTGGACCGCTGGGTGGAATTCAATCTTAGGAGCCCAGCACTCAAGCTGTGGCTCCCGCATTGCTGTAATGTACTGAATGGCGTTGGGTCTGGTTGATTATAGCTCTGTAGACTTCACTGCTTGTCTGTAAAACATGCCATCAGCTAACGTCATAGGTGGTGAGGGTTAAATGACATCCGTGCAGTGTCGTCCGAGCTACACCTTGACTGCCCGATACATAGCACGCTCGTGATGTATGCAGGGCATGAGGATTTAGATACGCAGAAGCCAGGCATTTGCCGAAAGCTGTTTCCACCGTGTGTTTTGCTGCCATCTGTGATGATCTGCCTTCTGAATAAGAGGATGCAGCTTCTTCCAAACATGAGGGCGACGTGAAAGGAGCATAGTGAGAACTCGATGGGACAGCTTAGCCTAGTGCCAGGCACGCGGGAACCGCTCGGCCTGCCTCGGTTGTTGTTCACAGGGACAGCACGACGTGGGCAGTCACCCATCAAAAGAACTGGATTTAGCACCATCCCCCAGCTCTTCTGTGGCTGCGAAGCTTTGGGCTTACTTTATGAGCTCTCCAGGCTTCACTGGCCTCCTCTAAAATGGGAGAAATAATATTTACCTCATAGGAAACCTGGAAGAACTGGAAATAACACAGCCAATGCATCAGGTATAAAGCCCAGGACATCTTAGTATAAATGCTATTAAGATTCCTTGATAGCTTTTTTTTTTCTCATGGAGAGCTCAGTTTGGTTTCTTTTCCACTGAGTATGTGAGAGGTACTCAATAAATGCATGTTGGCAGGGATGAGCTACGTTTTCATGGGGTGCACTGGGCACTGAAGGAGCAGGACACTCACAGCCACTGTACTCACATGTCTGTTTCATCGGCTAACATCGTCCTCCTCCACGTGTTTAGACAGAAAGTGAAGGTTTTCCCTAAGTCATTTTCCTTAGTGGATTGGAGTGTGGACCTACACGGCCTGGAGTCAAATCCCAGCTCTACGTGACCTCAGGCAAATTACTTGAGTTTTTTCTGCCTCGGTTTTTTCATCTATGCAAGCAGACTCATAACAGTACCCTGTATCGGGGTTGGATGAGCTCCTCTGTGGGAATCGACTAGCAATGCCTGCCAGGGGTGCGCACTGGATGAGCTTTAGTTTCCTGTAAGAGCACAAGTGGGTCCAGGATTGGCCGGAAGCCTGGTGCAGGGAGCCCTGTGCTGAGCCAGCGACTGCTGCAAGAAAAGAAAATTGAAAGGAAGGGTGGAGAGGTGGGGAGAGAAGAAGAGGAGGAGGAAGGAGGAGAAGAAGAGTGGAAGGAAGGGAGGGAGAGAGGAAGGAAGGAAAGATTGGTTTCTTACTGTAACTAAGCTTAGCAGCCTCCCAGGGTTGAAGGTGAGGACAAAGTCATGGTTTCTCAGTGAGACTGGCCATAGCAGCAGGTGCCTTTGTTTCTAAATTTCTGCTTACTGATTTATTCTGTAGTCCGGTCTCACCCCCAGACGCAGACAGCCTCACAGCAACCCGTTTTGTAGATGAGGGAACTGGGGCTGGGATGTTAGCTCCAGCTAGAGGCTGGCTAGCTGAGCACACCTTTCCTGGAGTGTGTGGCCTCCGTTAGAGTCCAGAGCTCGGCCAGCGCCCCCGACGACCATCCCACCCATCACGGAGCGAAAGGAGAAAATCCTACCTGCAGGTGGCTCGAGGCTCCTTTGTGGTTCTCCTGCAGGGTCTTACCAGGGGGTCCCCCCAAGCCCACGGAGGTTGGCCTGCCCACCCTCTATCTCTTCCCCAAGAGGCGGAACAGGCAACAGGCAGAGGCGGAGAGTCCAGAGCAGCCACCACATCTACGGGGCTCCGTGGTCAGTCCCTGTTCATCCCACACGTTCTTACGTGCTGATCTCTGCGGAACCCAGGCGCCAGCCCTTGTGGACTGCAGACCGCCGAGATGCACCATCACCACAGTGAAGGGAAAGACAGGGCAGGGTTGAGACCATGGGGCCCAAGAGCAGCTCAGGAACGACATCAGGCCCAGCCCCCCTTCATCTTCCCATTCCAGGGCAGATCACGCAGGCTTTGTGCCACCTAGGTCAGAGTCAGCGGCACCGGCCTTATGTCTGTAGCTGGGGAGGGTGGCAGGAGCAGGGCATGAAGGCACCAGGGCAGTGGCCGCTGCAGGCTGGGGTTGCTCTCCCATCCCCTGAGCCTCTGTCCCCTTATCAGCCAGTTGGAGAGGATGATTCGTGCACAGGCGTGGCATTCACGAGACAGCATTGTTGCCGGGCCGGGGGTAAGGGGTGACTGCGTGGGCGCAGGAAGCCCCTGCAATCATCCGTTCATTTAGAAATGCCTGGAAGGGGGCCCCTGCCCAGCAGCTCAGTTGTTTAAGTGCCTGCTTAAACAATGCAGTCAGTCTCAGGATGCTGTGGTTCGAACCCAGATATTCACTCAAAGCAGAAATGCCCTGAGGGCATCTTGAGGCCGCCAAAAAAGAAATGCATGGAATTGGAATGAATCCAGGACTTGATCTGTACAGGGGAAACCAGGCCTCCAGACGGACAGGCAGGGCACTCGTGGCGAACAGCAAATGGGCTGGCACTTGTCCTTTCAGCAAGTGTTCAGTGAGCACCTGCCAAGTGCTAAAGGCTAGGGCCGGCTAAATGCTCAGCGGATTAAAGCCCCTGCAAGCAGGCGCAGGGGTCGGGGGTTCAATCCCCAGGCCTGCCATGCTGGCCCTGCCCCTGGGGGCATGCTGAGATGGCAATTGAGACTGGACGGGGTGGCGTGCACCTGTAATCCCAGCTCTTGGGAGGCTGTAAACAGGCGGATCACTAGGAATCTGATCTAGTAGTGAGACCGTGAACACCCTGTAGACCCTTCCCTAAAACAGAAAACAAGAAAAAAAACAAAAGTGCTAGAGGCTGAGGATAAAGCTCGGTCTGATGGCGGCCACGGGAACAAGGAGCAAACCAGGCCACTCCAGATGTGAGGAATGCAGGGAAGAGGGCTAACAGAGGGCCGAGATGAGAAGCCCCTCAGGGCAACGGTGAGGCTGCTGAGAGCCCTCCCAGGTAGGACCCTGCAAGAGTGAGCCTGCCTGTTTGGACAACTAGGAAAAGGCCCTGTTCGCAGAGTGCAAGGTGACACGGACAGAAGGGCTTGATTCCCAGGACAGAGCCCTGAGCGCTGGGACCTCTGCTCCCCCCCCCCCACCCGCTGGAGCCGTGAAGGGACGCAGAACTCCAGCACGTCAGGGCTGGGGCAGCGTTTCCATAGGCTGGAGTGTCTCACACAAGAGCGACCAAAGGGGCGCCCTGGGGGTGGAGGCCACAGAACAGCCTCAAGCAGAAACACTCGCTCCTGGAGAAGTCACTGTGTCTCTTCCCGTCCTCAGGTTCCCCAACCTCTTCCCCCCGCTGAAGCCAGAGACGGTGGCCCGGAGGACAGTGGAGGCCGTGCAGCTCAATCAGGCCCTCCTCCTGCTCCCGTGGACCATGCACATCCTCATTATCTTGAAAAGGTCTGGGGCCAGGGAAAGCAGGGGATCAGGTTCATGGCAAGCACCCCCCCCCCCAGGCAGCAGAGGCCGTGCCCTCCCAGTCCCTGCACTGCACCTCTCCTCACTTTCCTCAAGAAAAATCTTTAAATCCACCACCAGGAAGCCTTCCAGATTATTCTGTCTGGAAATGACTCCGCCATCTTACCTCCTGTTTGAGTCAACAGGCAGACTGGGGCCCTCCCTGTCCCACATCTACGGGGAGGCTGGGGATCAGAAATAAGATATCTTTGATTATTGAAACTGTCCTACCAATTTGGTTGGAAATTGTCTCATTGCTATTTGTTTCTCAATAAAATTATGGAAAAAAAAAAAAAGAAATAAGATATCTGCCACAGAGGCTCTTGTGTGACAGATGGACAGGTGAAGGGGAGCCCAGAAGCTCCGGGTCACACCCAGGAGAGGCTTGTGGAAAGCTGCCCCAGAGACTGTGACTCCCAAACCATACCTGACCACCCCAGTCCCTCACAGAAAGTCTTTGCTGAGGAAGTAAAGCTTGGAGTTGATTGATCACTGAGTGAGTTGTAGCCCTAAGATGCTGTTGTAGTCTTTTCAGTTGCTGTAACTGAGTAGCACAGACTAGGTCATTTATAAAGAACAAAGGTTCATGTGGCTCGTAGCTCTGGTAGATGGGTCATCCATGAGCAGGGTGCCACATCTGCTCAACATCTGGCAAATAGGGCATGAATAATGAGAAAAGTGTAAGGCTTGGCAAGAGAGGGAAGGAGAGCTTGTGGGACCATTGGTCTACTACCCTGTCCGGTGTGGCTCTCAGTGACCCAGCCATTGTCCACCACCATATTGACAGTCTTTTCTTTTCTCTCCCCATCCTAGCATACTGCCACAAGCTGCACTGGAAGAGATCCACAGATTCTCAGGAACCTATACGTGCATGAACACTTTTAAAGGACGGACATAGAGGCAGGAGGCAGAGCCTGAGGGGCCCACAGTGCCCAGGCGCACAGCCACGCCCGTCTGTGGGCACATTACTGCTGGGTGAGCCGGGCTGATTCTGTTCCAGGCAAAGACTCTCAGCCCCTTGGGCCAGCCCCAGGACCTTTGCACAAGACTGATGGGTGCAACCCTGCCTCCATAGGGAGGCAAGAGTCCAGCCGGTGGCCACCTTGACACTTTTGTATATTTCCAATTCTGTAGAGTTTACTGTTACGTTGCTTCTCCAGTCTAACCATCCTCAGCCATGTGCATAAACTATTTCCGAGAGGGTCTGTCCCAGGCGCTCTGCCTTCCCCTCCGAAACCCACTCATCTTCAGCTTGAGCAAACTGGTTGATCGGCAGGAAGGAAAAATAAAGAGTGATGGCTTTTGCAAGTTCCTTGCTTCAAACCCTTGGTGGGAAACTGGGCGGGGCCAGGCCTAAGCACAAAATCCCCATCCACTGGGAGAGAAATGGTCCATACAGAGACCCCAGCTGCCTGGAGGAAAGAAGGGGACAGAGATACGGAGAGATTGAAGCCCAGGTCTGAGGTCAGAGATGACTCCTTACCTACACGGGTCACAGCCTTCCAGGAGCATGTGGCTTCGCCGGCATAACCATCCAGCACTGGTCTGTGGACAGTGGTCCACCAACCTGGCACGGCAGGGCCAGTCTTGGCTGGGCACCTGCTGTGTACCTAGCTTGGTACTAGAGAGGAACACTATAGAAAAGTTAAAACCCTCAAGATGCCAGGACGAGATGGCAACCATGGAGGGAAGATTAGGAAACAGTGACAGCAGTACAGGAAGTGCAGAGCAGCAGACTGCCTTGGGTGTCTCGCCACACCTGCCTGCAGGGCAAGGGAGGTCTGGAGCAGCGGAAGGAATTGCCCATAGGAAGAGATGCCTGTGGTCCACTTTGCAGCCTCCCTGCTGCCCCAGGCTCTAAAAACTCATGCCTAGGGGCAGGAAGAGGCAAATAGTGCCTGTCACAACAGTGTCCAGCCCCTCAGCTCATGCCAGTGGGTGGCAGGTGTGGGTAGGGATTCCCCCGGAGAGGAGGAGAACAGGCCTCTGACTCAGTAGAGGAGCATCCCCAGAGTTCCATAAGCCTTCACGGACACAAACTTCAGCTCGAACCCTTCCAGCTACCAAGCTCAGACCCTCAGCCTAGGTGAGCATCAGCCTATTCTGCGTGTAGAGAGGCCACGTTATGACCCTTTCCACTGTTTATTGAGCACCTATAGAATGACTGCTTGTCCCGTGGCACCTGCGCTCTGAGACTCAGGTTGATAAATAGTGTGTTATCGAGGACCAAATCTTGTGGCTCAGGTAGACACACCTGGTGAACCATCAAGGCCTCTTCAAGTTTCTTTTTTTTTTTT